ACATCATCCTTGAGCACAACCAGCAGATTATCTCCAGCCTCTCTTTTCCTTGGTCATGATCTTCCTATTAGTGGCATTTAATTCATCTTCAGTAATCTCCTCATCTTTTCCCTTTTCTTTCCTGTTTCAGAGCACCTTTTAAGATATTCAGAATAGCTACATATTTTTGAAGGATTTTTTTTTTAATCTCGGTATTTGTCCATTCTCAAGTAGAGTTTTAGACCTACTTAAAAACAGAAGGTACATTGATGAGCAATGAAAAAGTGGGTGAGACAACAAAGAAAAGGGTGGTAGGAACAGTGAGAGGAAGAAAGATGGAGACTGTGAGAAATCAGCTGTGTCTGCTTCCTACTCGTCTTTCCCAGGTGATCCTTCTACCTGCTCTAAATTAATATCAAAGCCAGAGGGAGCAGAAAAAGGTTGGTGAGGGAAAAAAACGACAACCTTAGGAAAAGAAAAATCATGATGCAGAAAAGCGTCTGTCCCCTGTCTAATTCCTGCAGTGGCCTGTAGCTGATGGTGCTGAGAAAAATACAGCAGCAAGCTCTGACATTTCATTTCTGTGGAGAATTGAAAAAGGGCTTGCTATAATTCATCGCTTCTTGTAACTCAAACCCTTTTTGACAGGGGTACCTGCGCTGTCTTTTAACAGTGGCACCACAGTGGCTGTAATTGGACATGAAAAATGATGTTGTGTTTCTACTTGCTGGGAGAATTGGGGTGGGGGTAGGTGGGGCAGTGGCAATTTGGCCTGAGATGGTGGCATCTGGCATAATTTGGATGGGCTGGTTTTTGGCAAAAAAGAAGGAAGGGCAACCCAAAATGAAGGAAGAAAGGGTATGAAGCGTAGGAAGTGTGATCACCTTGACTAAGGTTTACAAAGGTGCTGGTAAGGGTGGTATTCATCATTGATGAACCTGCAAAGAATCACAGGAAAATGAGAAGTGTGATGCACATGAAGTTCTAACTCCACCATCAACACAAATATTTATGGCATTTGTAGGAAAAGGACATAACACCTCTTCCTGAAATGGGCCCATTCACAGCTGCCATGGTTCCTCTTCCCAGTACAGATGGGGAACCTGAGCCACAGGCTTCTCCTGACTCCACACTGGAAACACAGTTGTGTGCATAACACTCTCTCACCACCACTCTGAAAACTGTGCCTATATATGTAATCCAGATTAAATTATTTGGCTCTTGCCTCAATCTCTGTGCCTCAGTGGTCCTCAGCACATCTTTGCTACAAAACTGTTGTCAAGCGAAGCACTTCAAAGTAAATTTTTGGCCAAATGGGACTCTGAATCATGAATGAGGATAAACATTGTCCTGATTTATAATGGGTTTATAACTATAGAGCATTCTGGTACCATAAAGTCAGATATCTCTATATTATGGAGGGAATAAAAAATTTAAGTCATGTCTTAAAGGATGGTAGAGAATTTAAAGAGGAGATGAATGTTTTTGGGACTAAAAAATAGTAAAACAGTTTACTCCTTTCTCAGTGGTATCCCAACAGGGGTGACATAGAGCAGGGAAGCATATCATATTTCAGATGAGAGCACAAAGAGCATCCATGAGCAGAGGAAAGAAGGACCACTGAAAGGACAGCACATCCTAGAGGAAAGCCTGACATGCACTCACTCCATCCACCACTCCATCCTGCCCTAGGTCCTTTCCCATGCAGCCAAATCCCTTTTGAAGCCTTCTAGTGACAGGGTTTAATAACACCTTACAGCCACATCTGTAATTCCACAGATCCCAGGTGGATTTCCTGGTGGTATTAATCAGATTTGCTGTCTGGAAAATATTCTTTCTCCTGTCACACTCTCAGGGTCCACCAAGACAGGACACATATTAAAGATGTCCATATCACTATTTCCCCAAACACTCTTCAGAAGGCTTCATTTTGGAATATAAACTTTAGTTTCATTCCACTTAACTTATGGCCACTTTTAGCTGAAGAATAAGCAGGGAACTTGAATATCTGAATACCCTTATCCCCATTAAGGCATTTCCCCAGGGTTAGAAAGCTGCATTGTTCTGCCATTTTATTTCCCCACTTAGCCCTTTTCTGGTCCCCATGACAGGTCCTTGCTCCCAGAGTGTCTGTATGAAGAAAAAAAATTCCATAGATGGAGAAAGGAAACTTAATTATTTTCCTCTCAGTGTTTCTCCCTATAATTGGTGTCTTTCATGTCAAGATGATCTCAATTTGTATTATGGGCTCCGTTCAGGCAGCACTTTCTCTTTGGTCTATAAAGAAATTGTCAAGTGTATAAATCATAGTGTACATTAAATTACACTAGCCTTTTACTTATTAATTTCCTCAGTTTTTTCTTCCTCTGTTGGATGCTCAGTCTCTCACTCTTTTTATAAATTTTCTTCAGAATTGACTGCTTTTTCTCACTCCTCTATATCAGAAAGAAAAAAACAAAAACAAAGAACCAAACCAAAACAAACAAAAAAAATTAAAAAACCAAAGTCCAAACACATATTTGCATCCTTTCATTTTTGCCAGAGGGCCTGATAATGTCCTCTGCCTTGTGCAAACTGACTTCATTCAACTCAGAAAGAAGGATGAAATCTGTCTAGTTTTCCTCAAGGCTGGACCCAAAAGTTACTTGAGTTCATTGGAAATTTTCATGGACTTTAGTACAATGCAGATCAGCACCTATGTGGGTGGATTTATGGGATGTTCTGCATCTCAAGGCTGTGTCCTTTCGGTCTCCAGACTTTGCCTCTCAAGGCTGTATCCTGCACACCTCCTGCAAATTCCTGGTTGCTGTGATCATTTTCCTAACTGACTGCTTGGGATGCAGGTTCTGGCTGTCTTGGAATGAGCACCAGGGACCTCTGAATCCCCTTTTCTGACCATAGGGGTGGATTAGACATAAGGTTCCCATCAGGAGCCCATAATCTGGAATAAGGGGGCAAATGTTAAAAGTAACCAGGTCTTGAGTCAGATTTTGGCACGTGGATGGCCAACACCAGCCTGCTGCAAACACAGACAGCCAGAGGCGAGCAGCTCAGGGAAGCATCCAAGGAATTTGCCTTCATTGTCCTGCACATGAGAAGCAAGGTGGGGCTCACATCAGCTAAGTCTAAATGCAAAGACAGCCTCCACGATCAGTAGAGAGGAACAGGCACTGCAAAAGACCATGCACGGTTTATGCCTCAAACACCAAGTTCAAGAGTGGCTCAGAGTTACACTTTCCACACATTTGGCGTTACATGGCATTGAGTTCTCTCCTCACCTGTGTGGTGTCAGATCACTGAATGTGAGCAGCAGCTAGCCACTCACATATGGGTATAAAGGAGCCCTGTGGCAGGATATCTGTCCTGCTGCTGCTGCTGCTTCAAACATCACCCCTGCCCTGCTAATACCTTGTGGTACCTCTGTGAGCAACTTTGCAGAAGCAGGAGCTGATGCAGGGTTTAGCTATTACCAGATTATTTGCTGGTTTCAGCTATCTGGGTTTTGTTGGATGGCACAGGCATAGAGGAGAGCAGGAGCTGCTCAGTAGCATCTGTAGGCATGGATGCTTCTTCTGCAGAGTGTGAGTCCAACTGTAGTCATTTTATGGATAAGTACGTTTTCCTCTAGAGACAACAATACAGCAGGATCTGCTGGGCTCTTCATCATCTTAACCTACTTGTCAGCCAGCTTGATAACTTGTTGTTACTAAAAATGTGTGCAGAGCAATTAGAATAAATCTAACTTATTATGAAGCGCTTTTCAAAAAAAAAAAAAAAGGGGGAAAATTAGGAAAAAAAAAAAGGAAAAATGAAACTAATGGCCTTGCTGCCCAACTATGATTAGCCACAAATAAGGGATGGATTAATTCCCTGAAGGCATTCTGTGATATTCATCAGCCAATTTGTGGTCTGACTTTACTGGGAAGACATATGTTAGGAGATTCCTATTGCCTGCTGACCTCGTGCTCCTTGTGATGCTTGTTTGAACTTGTACTTTCTTTGTTGGTTGACAAATCAAAAAGATATTTTTATTCTGCTCAGAGGTGGTCACACATAGAAAGATATTTTGAATATTCCATCTGCACAGGGTATTGATTGCTTGATGTGATAAGAAGTATGAGGCAGGAAAAGGCTTTCAGACTAAATTCTTAGCTGGTTCTGATCCAGTCTGCATCCCTGGCTATTGACAGGAGGGGTTTACCCTCATCCCTGTTCTTCAGGCTCCCACATCATGTTAGGCACTGCCAGTGAGGAACATTGTGAGCATCTGTTGCCCTCTCTCCTGGGAGTGAGCAGCTCTGGGGATAGTGATGGTCCCCAGTGATTGTGTTGAGTGAGAGAGGGATAATTTGAATAACAGAAACCTATTCACAACACAGTGGGCAAGGTTTTTAATCCTACTCGTATAGTGGTATGAGAAAGGAAAAATATATCTGAAAAAGCAATAGAAGGAACATCTGGTCCTCTACCACCAGAAAATTCTCAGTATCCAACACTCCTGCAGCATGTAGACAAGTTAGATCCAAATCCTGGTTTGAAATGGAGTCTGCTGTGTCACACATGACTATCCTACTGAGCTAACAGTAGAAGTGGAATTAGCTTTTCAATTTCCTTCCCATCACACCAATCTCAAGAAACTTTTGCACTTTAAGTTTCACTGGTCCTGATGTTCTGACAAAGCATTTTTGCTGTCATGCACCAGTGTTTCCAGGGGAAACTATTAGAAATTTTAAAAGTTACGTTTAAAATTTCATGACCTGTGTGAAATGAGTCAGATCCCTCTCCCAATGTGATTCAACAAAGCCACTGTCGGGTAACAGGAGTGACACTGATTTATTTGCCTCAGACCAAGCCGCAGCCTGCACTGGTTAGTTCTTTGTTTACTAATTGCTTTTTTTCCCCCCTTGTGGAGTAAATTCTGGTGCTAATTATGATGCGCAGTAAAGAAGCAAAGCAAGCCTCTGTATATGAATGTCTGACTCCTCCATTAATTACATGTCTGTCTTTGTTCTTCCTTGCAGATGAACAGACCGATCCAGGTGAAGCCAGCGGACAGCGAAAGCCGAGGAGGTAGTTGACTGCATTGCTTTCAGCCACAGTGCTAAATATAATTGTTGTCTCTGGCTTCTCTCAGGCAATGTGCTGATCAATTAGTAACGTAATCACTGCCAAAGAAATTCCCTCCACAGCAAAGATTCTCTTTATTAAATCTCCTTTACTTCGTCTCACTTTCCTCATATTCAATTATTATTTGATTTTAAAAGGCAGGCAGGTGCCAGCGATTGCCTGAGAAACAAATAACTGCCTCGTTAAGAAGTGAAGCATCAGGCAGTGACTTAACAAAGTTTAACAGCAGTGGACAGCAATGGGGGTTTTTTCAAGCCCGTGTCAGGCTGAGCTGTAGATGTGTTTAATTTGGTTAGGATAAAGCAGAAATTCTATGGTTCCTCTAACCATGTTGTTTCTGCATGCACTCAAGTAACTCTGCTTCTGGAAAAAGCAAATTCTGAGCTGGCAGAGTTTTCTGCACCTGTATCAGCTTATCTGGATAAACCTGTTGTGGAAACTGAAGACTTCTCCCAGACCCTGGGAGTTATTCAGGATTTGCACAGGTATAGCTGAAATCAGGAGCTGGTATTTTGCTTTTCCATTCTACACAGTGGATTTGGAAGGCTTTGTTAAGTGATTGTTCAATAGATCACCAGAGATGAGGTGTTTCCTGTAAAAGGTTTTTTACCTGAACTGATGTGGTGATACTTCACCGTACTCTTCTAATAGGAGCCTGTTTGTCAGATCAAACACACAGATCACTGAGAGAGTGTGAGATGGTCTGTTATGCTGGATAAATTACCATCCTGCTATTTTTTTCTTGTGTCTGTACATTTATATATATATACACACGCATATATATATAATGACATGTTCTCTTCCTCTCTATCCCTATCTCTTTGGGAAAAAAATAGAGAGCCTTTTCCTCATCTTTCAGTAAAAACCTCTAGTGCTTATGTATCTGATAAATGTGGGAGTAGATTTTGTCATTTAGCAATGATGGGGCTCTTAGATGTCTGAAAACTTTTCAATTTCCACCATAAATATAAACTCTTCTTCATTTGTGGGATGACTATCTTTGTGCTGGCATTAGTGGAAATCTCCGGCAACAACTACTTAAAAGGAGAAAAATGCCTCACAGAGAAAAGGCACCACGTTCTCTCTCTTTTCATTTGAAAGCTGGGGATTTTAGGGACTTTGGCTGTGTCAGTGTGAGGCTGAAACTCTCCAGTGACTCAAGCTGTTGGGAGAATTTGGATGTAGCTTGTAGTTAAAGGGTTGGCGTTACAGGCTGGTGAAACCACAGGTCGAAATGGGCTCTGTAAGAACTGGCTGTGGTGCTGTGTTACTGCAGAATAGGAGAAATGAATGCTGGAAAAACACCATAAATCTCCATCAGAGACAAATACTTCCCTTTCAGAACCTCTCTAAAGAAAATTTGGAGGAATTTGCTTAATACAGGGTGGAAAGTACCTGATGGGATCTGGCAAGTTCTGCATTCAAGGGCCAGGGCACATTTCTGACTTGCAACAAAGACGCATCACATCCTCCAGCATTGTCCAGTGGTTTTTAACAGAACCAGGTCAATTTCTTCCCCTTTCCCTCCTTGTCTGATGATCTGGCTCTGTGTCTGAGTAGGACTGGGTAAGCCATGGGCAGTTGTCAATGCCAATCTCCTAGGGGAAAATGGAAAGGCTCAGCTGCCTGGGCAAATGAGGGGACATTAAGCACATTCCAGTGGAGTTCATGCCGACAGCGAGAGTGAAGGGAAGGCCTTTTGTCCATTTAATTAGACATACCAAAAAATAATAATTAGGCTGGCCAATTTGCCTAGTGCGCCTACAGGGTATGTAGCTCCCAATCTTTTTCTTTTTTTTTTTTTTTTTCTAATGCAAATCAGTAATAGAGAACACATGCCTGGCTTTCTGGGGAGGGTTTTCAAACTCCTTTGCTAAGAGCAGCTGCTTTCAGGAGCAGTGGTTTGAACTGCAAAGGGCTCCAGTGGCAGCTTGATTCCACATTATCCCACCCGTGGCCCCCTCCCCATTGTATTTTAGCTAATTATCTCCTTGTCTTACACAAACCTCATCTTTTCCCATCCAGCCTTGCTCCCATATTTCTCCTGTCAGTGGCGATCATAATGCAGAGGCCAAGCGGGTGCTCTCGTCATTGATGTGAAAGACACGTTGTCCTAATTCCCCACTGACAAGCTGCTTCTGGGCTGGGGATGCTCCAGGGCGGCATTACTCAAGGGCAGCTGTGGGAGAAAAGAACAATTGGCACCCAAGGGAGGCATTGTGTGAAAACTTACATTCTTCAAGAGCCCACCGGTTAGAGCAGGCACGGCAAACAGAATGCTAAAAAGGAGGCCCTGTGCCTTAGGAGCGCATCAAAAGGCTTCATTAGGGCTGCAAGATAAAGGTCAACCTCAACAATAAAGAAATTTAAGTTGTGGCCTATTACACCCTGTCCCTCTATCAGGTTGGGACATAGGGGAGGAGAGGGGCTTGGGAGATAAAGCAGCTCTTCCACACAGCACAAGTCCTTGGTCTGCCCAAAATCCACACTCTGGATTATGGGGAATACACACCTTGGATTAAGGGGAATTCTGGTGCCAGGCACAATGCTAATGAAAAAATGCAGTGTTGTCTGGAACTGCAGCTTGCAAGGAAGTTTTTACTGAAAAAGGTGAGCAGCATTCTTGTGGAAGTGATATTGTGTTTTCTTTGGAGACAAGTACTTGCATTTAACTGAAACAGGAATCTTTGAATTTTTCAGCAAGTTCTTCCACAAGTAAAAGGTGCTAAGAGTCACAAATTTATTCTCACCTTCAACCAGATTAAGCTCAGTTTTTCTTGTTGTTCTGGAGTCTGGATTTTTGTTTTTTGGTCTTTAACCCTCCCTGTGCCCTAATTCTCAGTTGAAATGAAAGTGAGTGTTAGTATTCAGTGTGTGTGAGCTGGCATTTAGACTGTCTTAGTTTGGGAAAGTGTTCAGTATATTGCTGTCAAAAATTACAGTCAACCCACCAAAATGGATATGGTGAGTGCTGCTTAATAATTTTTCTGGGTTTATTATTTTTTGTTAATATCCAATTGTACTATGAGCAAAACAAAGCGTGAAAACCTTTTAAACAAAAACTGGCATTATTTACATTTGCCTAATCCCATGGGAAATAGAAATTAATGTGTCCTCAATATATTTCTCTAGGGAAATATTCTCAATTACTGGGAAAATTTTACATTTTACATTCCTGCTTGTTTGTTCATGTATGTGCATAGTCAAGATACAAAATATTCTATAGGGGTATTCCTTTTACAAAATGCTTCATAAAGTTTCAAATACCTGATCAGAAGATCAGAGTCCTTTGAGACTTTTTACTTTAACACTAACAGAATTGATGGAATATGACAGAAAATGAGCAATTCCGTATTTTTTCATGAAAAATCAGATTGTGAGTCCAGGTCTATTAAGGATATCTTAGAAAATTCTTTGGCCTTTGTTTTGGCCATTTTATCTTGATTATATGGAAACTACTTTTCCAGAGATTAGTTAGTCTAATACAGTTTTAGGGAGGTAAGCTAGAACTCCACATCAAAATTTTGAACATAAAAAATCCCAGCTAAACTGTTAGAATTCACTATCATTCTCGCCTCGGTGGAGGTGGTTTTCCTCAGCTCCTTGTCTGATATTAAGCTCTAAAAATAGCCAGCAGGTATCTATCACTTAAAGTTTCTCAAACTTGGAGAGTGATCTCAAGTCTGTTTTGTGGTTTGGGGCAAAAGTTTGGAGCCAATTCTTATTTCATCCACAATATCTCCAGCCCTCACTAGGCAGCTCTCACTGCAGCTGGCAGGGTTAACCTATGACAAACGCAGCCCCCAGGTCCCACTATGTTGTGCAGGCAGTAACATTTTTTAAAAGGAAAGGACTCTCCTGCTGCTCCAGCTGCAGCCCGTTAGTGATGCTTAGATGCTCCACTGCTCCCACATTCCTCTCAAAGGACAGAGGAAGGTCCGTGAAGGAAACCATGCAAAGATGAACGCCGTGTGCTATACCCTGGCTCAGTGTAAATGTCACCACCAAAATGCGTTTTGTGGTGGTTTTGGGGTCCTCCAGCCTTCAAACAGAAGGCTCCTGGAGTAAAGAAAGGAAAAGTAGAGAGAGGTTTAGGGTTTAAAGGGTGTCCTGCAGAGAGAGTGTTAAGAGGTTTACAGGACAGACTGTGGTGCATTGTACTGCAGTATTTCTGCAGTATTTCTGCATGCAAGAAACCTGCTAAAGTTTCTGTCTGTGCTTTCAAGCAGGTTATCTTTTGTGCATGTTTGAGGGAGGCGTGTGCTGTATTGTCAGGACTTAGGACATCTCTCTGGCTGTCTTAAGCAGCTAAGACTTTTGCCAGGGGTCTCAGAGACCCTGGCACAGAGCTTAAAATGCTTGTGGTTTTGATTATGACTCATGGAGCAAGTAACTAACTTCAGATGAAGACTTGCAAGCTATGATAAATTAAGTAGAATAATAGTGAAGTTATCACAGGGTGGAAAGTAGGTTTTGGGATTTTTGGTATGGGGGTCCAGGAGGCAAGATGGAGGAATCTGGGTGTGTCCAGCCCTTCTCTTTCTTCTTCTTGGCCTCCATCTTCTGCTGTGATGTTGGCACTTACAGATTGGTTTAGAGTAGAAGCTCACTCTCTAACATAGGTGATAGGTATTGGAAAGTAGTTGTAAACATTGTACATGTAGTTTTTAGTATAAAGACATAACACTGCCCTGGGGGCAGGCAGAGTGCCTGGAACTGTCCTGCTGGATGGACCACGGCAGGGCAGAGGAAATTTGTATAGATAAGATGCAATAAACAACCTTGAGACTGAGAAATTAAGAGCTCTGACTCCTTCTTCAAGTGCCAGGCTGGGAAAAGAGACTTTCTAACTTTTCTCTGAGTCACTCCGACTAGCTAAAGATCCTGAAACTGTGTCATTTTTTGTTGCTTGGCAGCTGGAAGGCTTAGACTTTGTATTTCAA